CACCACCAACATATCCTCCAAAGCACTATGGCGCTATTTAACTCACAAGAGGTAGCTGCCTAAAAGGAAATTAAAAAGAAAAGGCAAAGAAATTAAGTGCTTGCAAGCAGCATTAAGACTGTGTAAAGACACTGCATCAGACGCTCAGCGTAAGCCTAGAGAATATTGGCAACATTTTAAAACAAAATAAAGGAACGACAGTTAAAAAAAAAAGAAAACACCAAACAAAAACCACAAACACCACCTAACTCAAAAGCTGGACATTATTCCTTCAAGCAAAGAAATAAAGACAAGAAGCTGAACCAAGCTAAAGTAAAATCATAATTAGGCCAAAAAAGGCTGCAGAACAACTTTACAAAGTAAGTCAAAACCCTTCAAACACAGCAAAATCAGGAAGCCTGCCAGACAGTCTGTAGGGCCAAAAGATGATCACTGTGTGGAAGAACGTTTGAGAAAGAGGGAGAACTAAATGAAGTCTTGCACCAGCATTCACAACATATTTATGGGAGGTTTCCACATCAATAGAACGTGTTCATGTGGCAAAAATACGAAGTCTTATCAACTTCTAATTGGATTAACAGTTATCCACTGTTAGTATCAGTAAAATATATTAATCAATTTATTACAGCTAATTTCTTCTAAAGGTGTCAGGACCAGATGGTATTCATTCAGGAGTTCAAGAGAACAAGTCAACAGAAAACCTTGCACACAAACACACCAAACTGCTAACTCTGCTCTGTTACCAAATACTCAAATTGGGAATACGGGAAGGGATAAGTGATGTGAATTTTTAAGAGGCTGGCATAGGCAGAAGTCTCAGGAAACTCCAGGGCCAGCAGCATGCTGGTTTGGCCAAATAGGCAGAAACTGTAGCAATCAAAAGACTGAAGTTTATGCATTAATAAACACCAATGTGACAGGCTTCTCAGAGACTATGATTTCAACACAATCTGAGCAAGTTCCCAAGACTTCAAAGAGTTAGGAGGATACAACTCCTTTTATACAATCTTTCCCTTTGCACTTATCACTGAGTGGCCTCCAGGCTGCCTGACAAATTTGGCCTGACCTAGGTTATATAGAACTAACAGCAAGTGCTTAACTGAACTAACATGATAAAATGATACTGTGTAAAAGAGTGAAAGAAAGGGGGAGGGGGGGCAACAAGAGAGAGAAGTGTCTGTACTTTATAAAGCATGAACAAGGATGTCCATAAATCTCCTTACTCAAGACCAGTAATGAGCCTAGACTGATAAGAGCACTGCAAGCTTGTAAAATCATCACATTCCAGGTGAAGGATGAAAAGTACACTGTGAGGAGGACCTACGGCCTTCCTCCCGAAGACCACCGCCCATGATTTGAAGACCACGGCCCGTAATTTTCAGCAGCATCTGCGCAAGCGTAAAGGACTGATAAACTAATTACCATACGAAGCGGGAGTAGGCGGGTTTAGGTAATGTATATGTATAGGTGTTTAATGAATATGCAATGCTTTGTAGTATAAAATTAAGACAAAATTCCTTGAGAGGTGTGGTCCGTTGTTGAAGCAGGAGACTCCCTGGCCACCCAGCACTGTTTTGCTTGTTGCCGCTTGCTAAATAAATTGGAAACTCCGACTCAGCCAATTTTAAGAAGTCAGTTTATAACATTCTGGAAGAAATCAAACACCCTTTCTCATCACACTTCCGCTTCTCTGGCATAAACTCATACTGCTTAATATGATGCAACGCTATATGATAAGACTACTTCTCTGTGCAAGTCATTCAGGCCCTCTCACCCTTAAATGCACCTTCCCCCAGTTTACCAGGAAAGGAACTCAACACAGCAAAACCACAGCAATAGATAAGAGTAAAGCAGAAGAGGGCTTTCAGCTCTGACAGTTTTTACAGTAACACAACTACCTCAGCTTCTGCTGGAATCCTCAGTCGGGATATAATACTTTGGCAGAGGACCTACTACAGTCACCTAAATAGCTAGCCCCAGGGGATCCTGCAGGGCAAGTGCTGAGGGTGCCATAGGGCAGCCCCTCCCAGCAAAAGCACTGCTGTCATTCATTTAGCTCCCATGCAGCTTCCACAGGACACAACACAGAAGCCAACTGCTTCTCTGAGGGAGAAGGGGGAGCTGCCTTTGCTGTATGGCTGGGAAGGGAGCACCAGATGAAATGTGTAGAAAAGTTTGTTTCAAGCTCCAGTGTCCATTTATAGAAGCTCATGCATTCCTGGGAAAGCCACGTTGCTATTTGGTCAGCACACCCTCCCACACTGAGCCACATCCAGGATCTCAGAGAGTTGGGCACATAGCACTTCTTGTGATCCAAGTGCTCTGATCCACCCTGCCCTTCTTTAAAGGGGAGGAAAGGAGCCAGGGCTGGAGAATGTCAACCATTAACTACTGCCATTACCAGCCCCTCTTTGTTCCTTGCTAAAAGCTTCTCTATTCTAATAGCTAAAACCCTGGAGATATGGGGCCAAGCTACAGAAGGGTGTGAGGCAGACCACCACCTGCCCCTATCTCTAACAGGGATCAAATCTTATCTGAAGAGATAGGGACCCTCCAGCAGGGACATAACAGCCGAAGAGATTTAGAATTCCACCCAAGGACAGAAATCCCACAGGACATGCTCCATTGCCACAACACTTCATAGACTTTCAGATGCCACCTTCCCTGAAGGACAAAAGGCACAAAACAGAGTTAGCTGTGAGGCACCAAACAGCAGCACATACAGCCCTGCAGCCTCAACAACACAAAAGCAATGGCCATTCAGGTGTTGCAGACAGGATTGTTCAGCAACACCCACCCCACTCACTACCACATGAAGACTCTTTCCCCCAATTCAGAACAAGAGGAAAGGATCCACAGGAGAGAGAGCATTTCCCTGAATTTCATTCACAACTTATCATCCAGTTTGTCCACTTCAAAAGCCATCACCCAATCACTGCTAGACTGGCACTCCCAGCAGTCTAAAGATAGCACCTAACAGAAATGGCCTGAGGCAGAACTTTTATGAGGCCTTAAATCTCTGAAGGAAAGTAAAACCATACAGTTGTAGAGAAATGAGCATAGGGAATAATTTGCTATGCTGGCATACTGCAATTACAAACCCACTGTATTATACCCTTTGCTAACACTCCCTAAAACACAGTCTATAACTGCAGAGTCAGGAAAAAAGGACACCTCTATTTCCTCCCCCCCGCCCAACATCACCAGTAAAAATAGCTACTTTTCATTCACTGTGATTATGCACCTCAGGGCCCTTGACTAAGGGAATTAATAGGTCCTTCCTATGGAGTATGCTCTGCCTTTAGTCACTGCCATTTCTGTGAAAGTCTGGGCTTACAAAGCACAGAGTACTGAACTGAGGTTTCATTGCCATGTCAGTTCTACCCCTGGAGCAGTGTGGAGAACCAAAGTGTAGCCAAAGTTTGCTTTACACAACCATTACACTAACCTGCTCCTTTTAGGACAATGAAGATACCACACACACATACAGCACAGGCTGAAAACCTCATTGTTTGGATTTCTTATGCACACTGTTGAGTAACTCCAGCTGAATAATTAAAAAAAAAAAAAAAAAGTCTGACAGAAAAATGCTCAGTTACTTATTTACTCCTAAATCAGCAGTGCTCATGCCAAGTTAAATGCCTTTCGCTCTAAGGATTCATTTAACACACATAAAAAACAGCTCGCTAGCCTGGCTGATAAGAGAAAAGAGGGAAGCTTAGATTCACTGCGAGAAAGATAAAGTATGTTTTCTCTTTCCAAAAGATGTAAACCAGAGTCTCCTTAATTGCTTGGCGCTATTCCACAAACTTCAGTTCCTCAAATACCATTTCCAAGCATTCACCTCTCTGTGCCTCAGTAGTATCTAAATAAACACAGAAACCTAGTAATGTGGGGAAAGGAGACCTCAAACCCACTGCACACAAAATTACCTACAAGGAAGAACCGTGCATTATAAACTACCTGAACTGCAAACCATTCAAATCTGAATAGCAGCCACCCACAGGCTAAATCAAAGATGGCCCAGGGTGGTGCACAGTCACGTGTAGGGGAGTACATTGGGTCTCAAAGCAAGGGACACAAGTCCAAGCCTAGCAGCTAATGGCAAGTTCTGCTCCCTTCTTCATGTCAGCATTGCAGAGCCAGACTCACTTCGCTTAGGCCACATTGCACCAGTATTGGCCTATCTGCTTCGTGCAACAGGGACGAGCAGGCATTCCAGTACAAGGGTCAAGTAGCTATTTCCTTCCTTTCAAAGCTGCTCTCCTGAGCACTAGCTGGCTACAAGAGAAGACTGTCACAGTTTGCGCAAGTGCCTGTCACTGGCCTCCCTGAACCACCTTGACAGGAGTGCTCAGGGAGCTTACCTGGTCCTAGCCTGATAGAAGGTTTGTTTCTTTCCAAAGCAACTGCTTGTGGAAACTCTGTACCTACTTTCAAGAGGTAGCTATGAAAGTGCTAAAGTCCTTTTCCTGCAGAGCTCAGTGACAAGTACTCTTCTCAGTAGACAGCTAGTCTTCTTTGTCCCATCTAGTTGTCAGCAGGAGGAAGATATCGCAGTGTTAAGTCCAGATGCAACTGCAGATCTGAGTCTGCAGGACACTGTCTAATGTGTGTGTTTCTTGGGACCGCACATTCCCCCCAGCCGATTCATGGTTCTACTGAATCACATTCCTGAAGCAGAGATTCGCAGACACGGGAGTAGGAAGGCACTGGAGAAGACCCTGAGTCCAAATGCCTCTCAAAGCCAGAGCCATACCCAGCCCCCATGCTGCCCCCAACTTTGTAGACTTATGTCCCGCTTGCCTCTGTCACCCCATCAGCTCACAGCCTAAGCCCAGCTGTGTCCCTCCAGGTACCAGCTGCAGTTCCCAGGGGGAATTTCGCCTAAGGGCCTCTGATCCCTTAGACGCCCCCCAAGCCCCGTGCACCTCTTCCTCCTCCCCAGTTTGCCCGCTTAGCGCTCCCAGTCTCTGGCCAGGCAGGTGACCACCCGTTACCTGGTTCCCAAAGACAGCGATGGAGCAGGCGGTAGAGACCTCTCGGGAGCCGAACCAGACAGAGGCGATGCGTGAGGGCATGCCCAGGATGAAGACCTGGGCCAGGGAGCAGATGACCTGCCCCAGGACGGTGATGGGGAAGAGGTGCGGCTTCAGGCTGCCCAGCTTCACCCAGGCACCCAGGGCATTGAGGGCCGAGCCGGCCAGGGCGATGAAGCGCAGGCCCCGCTTGTCCAGCAGCCAGGCGACGGGGAAGAGCAAGGGGATGTAGGTGATCATGTAGCTCATGGAGAGCCAGTCGATGGCGAAGGTGCTCACGCCGTAGAAGCGCGGAGCCCGGCAGAAGCTCTGCCCGCGTCACCGCGGAGGGGCCGCGACCCCCGCCTCAGGGCCGCCGCCATCCCGCCATTTCCAGGCCCCGGCGAGCGGCCGCCCCGGCGTGAGGAGGGCCCGGTGCGGGAGAGACCTCAGTCGCCGGCGCATAGACCGGAGCGATGCACAGGACGCGGAGTGACCCAGACCTGCGTCCTGGGGGCAGGCTGTGTGACCCGGCCAGAGATGCCAGGCTGGACGCCTCGAGGGTGAACCGGTCTGGGGTGCCCCTTGGGTTGGCTTCCGATGGGCTTTTGTCATGACGTGGCACAAAGTGAAAACATCCGGTGAAGTCAAAATTAAAACATCTCAATGTGACTGAAGCAAAAGAGCCAAAAGTGATGTTTGTTTTCATCCTCATGGGGAACTTGCAGTTAATGAGTCAGCTCTTGTTTTCCCATTACTTTAGCAACACACCACTCTGACAGTCAGATTCCTGCCTGGAGATCACTTATGATCTACAGTTCGTTTAATTAACAGCGTGTTACACGAATTGTACAAACATTACTCAGCACAAGCTTTAAAACCTGGATGTGGTTGCAAACTAGTGTGGTTCAGCTCTCTTCCAGCACTCATCACACAGCTCGAAGTTCACTTGGAAAAATGGGAGCGGTGACCTGTCTTTAGGATGTTGTATTCCTGAAACAAAGCCTTGGGTCAGAGAATGAAAAGTGAAGTTTCTCTGGCTTGTATTTACTTTGTGGAATGCTGTCAGAGGTTACTGACACTGTCCTCTGAGTTATCTACCTGACTACAGCCAGGACCAAAGGCAGACACTCACCTTTGGGTGCCATTATGTTCTTATTTCCCATGCAAGCATTAAAAAAAAAAAAAGAAAGAAAAAAAGAAAAGGAAAAAAAAAAGCTTTGGACAAGTTATTCCAGAGAGAACAAATGTCACCTTAAGTGGTTCTTGCTGTTTATCCTCACAGAGCTCATTTCTTGTCACCTGCTTGGGTTTCCTGCTCCCAGCAGTGTGGCCAGGAGCACAGCTGGAGACAACCAAAGCCAGTGCAGTCCTTCCCCATGTGCTCCACTGAAAGCACCGCACCGCAGAGCTGCAAACCTTCCTCCTCTCCCCCTCTCCTCAGCCCACAGCTTTGCCACTGATCCTCCAGCCTCACCTGGGATGCTCATTACAATGGTACAACCATAATGTAGCCATAATGTAGCTCTTTCACATAATAAAGAAAGGCAAATTCAGAAACAAAAGCCAGAAAAGAGGTCTTCAGTCCCATTTGTTATTAGGTTAGGCACCCAAAGTTACTCCAACCTCTGTACTAAGACAACAGAAAGAACAGAAGAATTTGTTCTAATAAATCTGTAATTTAAATGTATCAGGAATGCAATGAGTGCTAGCAGTGCAGAGAGTGAAGAGGTGAAATGGAGCAGGAAAAGGACGTCACGGTCCAGCAGCTGCTTAGTCTGAAAACTCTGAGGATCTAACAGTAAAATAGTACAGAAAATTAACTTCTAGGTTCATCAGATTTGCAAAGGTCTTTACAAAATTCTTCACAATATTATAAAGAAATCAAAGTTACCCGGAAGTAACCACTAACATTGATTAAAAAGTAGTCAAAATGCAGAGATCACAAAAAGAAATAAGCAGGCAATTTTTAGCATGGCAAATTGGGTTTCCTCAGAGGAGCATCATTTATATTAATCCTGAAATCAGAGCAAGGAGTAAAATTTGCAGATTGTAAGACATTCTTTAAGTTACTCAAGACTAACATAAATATGCCACCTACGTGTTATATTTAGGTCTGTATGACTTTAGGACTGTAGCTTTAGCTATGTGCAACTGAAAGTATTACTACAGTCCGTGGCATCTTTAATTTGTAAACTCAGATAAATGAAGGATAATGGAGTTAGGTACTGTATGGCAGTCTGCTGTTGTTAAAGGTCTCTGGGCAGCAGACCAAGAATGTATCAGTGACTAATAGGGACTGAACATGGTTTTTCAGGCTTAGGTCACAGAAAAAAGAAAAAGCAGAAAGAACATAAATAAAAAAAAAACAAGGAGTTGAAGAGACACTGTCATACATTAGGAAAACACTGAGAACAGTTAATTTTCTTCATGTGACTAAAAAAAGAGCACACACGTAGGAAAATCTTTAGATATATGGGAGAGGAATAAGAAACATATATTGGGTCCTTTGCCTCCTGCCATCACTACTCCAAACTGGAGAAACAGTCTGTCATCTTGAGTTGTGTTTTAGTCCCACCTTCAGCTCCTAAATTTCTCTCAGAAATCCTCAGTTTTACCCATCACCACCAAAAAGCCCATTGCAAGCCAGAGCCTGCCAAGCAAGGAGCCATTTGCTCACACTAAAGTAGTGACTTTGTGCAATCAGAAAAGTCAAACGGCAAATCAATAATAACTAAAACACAGACCCTGCTGAAAATAACAGCTAAAAGCAGATGGATGAAAGTAGCACCCAGCCTCTGGCAACTGCAGCCTTTCAAGTGAACATGAGCCAGGCAGGGAAGAAACACTGGCTCTCCCAAATACAATTTAGTCAAGTATTTTTCATACCTACAGGCCCACACTTCCCAGAACTCCTCTCCTCTGATTTCAGGGCTGTTTTGTTTTGTTTCTGGCTCGTGAACTGTTCAATCATTTGACAATTTCTGGACCAAAATAAAACCCCTGTGCTTTGCATTTCTTCCTCTCTTCATTGCCACATCTGTTTCTACTCAGATGAGCCTCCTTCCCTCCTTGAAGCAACACAGCAGCTGCTTTTGGATTTCCCTCATCAGAGCATCTTTATATAAAAATTTCTTAGCCATGAAAATTTATTTATATTTCAGGACAACCCCTTGAAGTGGATTTAAAAGCTAGAAGGAAATCTCCTTTACATGGAGATTGACACAAGTGCTGTAAAGGTTACAGGATCCTTTAGCCAAAATTATCTGTGAAGGTTGGGAAGCACTAAACCAGAGGCAGAAGTCAGGCCCAAATTAAATGTAACGGTACAGGCCATCAGTTGGAGCCTAACATCTCTGGCTTCCCTACTGATCTTAAGAAATCCCACTTCTGACATTCTTGAAATACACTCTGCCTTTATGACCAATAAGTACATGCAGTTCCTTTATGTTCTGTAAGGACTGAAGAACATGCCTTACACAAGCTTGGTTTTCTCAAAGCCCACCCAATAAAGATAAACACTAGGGATGATGCTGACAATGATAAGCCAGCTTTCTGGTTTCTAGTGGCCTCAGTGACAAGCAAGGCCATAATGAATGGGTGGTGGGAATTGGCTTGGAAGGTGTGCAGAAAGCACATTAGAAAAATTAATGTGAAGAGAATAATTCCTTGATGCCTTTTCTCTCCCACACTGAGTCAGAAAATCCGAGGAGTGGGTGGACAAAAGGTGAAGGTTGCCGGGGAAAAGGGAGTGCTGAGGGATATACTGGATCTTCTAGCAATGCAGTTCCTGAAGAGACTTAAGGATGCTTAGACTTCTTTTAAATGGGAAGTATTTAAACTCATGGGATTACAGGATGTCCCTTGCTCTCAAACCCACAGCATTGTGATTTGTGCCTTCAAATCTCACACTTAGGTGGCCTAGCTAGTGCAGCTCTTGGATGGCTCTATCACATTTTGACTGATAGGGCTGAGGTCTAGAAGAGGTGTCAGAAGGTGTCCCAGTCTATCCCACACAACCTTTCTCAACAGACATTGCAGGGAAGATTATAACATCTTTACTGGTGGAGGGAGAATGTTTTATACTGGGTTCAACATCCAAACTGCTCTAATGGAGGTCTTCCGAAGTCAGATAGCTGCATCATTAGACCAAATGGCAAGACAATAGCTGGCAGAACCACTCAGTCCTGGGTCCCACCTGGACGCAGTGCGCAGCTGGAGACACACGGCGCAGAGCGCGCCGGCACCGGCTGCCGCGCTGGACAAGGGCAGCGTTGTTCCCTTACAGAGCTGGGAAGGCTGCGAGCCCTCTGCTGGCGCCCGTAGCTTTCTACATCCCAGGAGCCACCAGAAATCAGGACTCAGCGTGCACCTTTATAAATGCCGTGAATTAGTTTATTACTGTAGGTTAGACACACAATTATTTTGATACCCTACACACTTACGAATCTCTCCTGTTACATCTCCTGTGTAAAGATTTCCTGTAAAGATCTGGGGACACGTACAGTGACAGGCAACTACATTTATAATAGTGTAGTATGCAGCCTCTGCAGCATTCAGAATTTTGCAAAAATTACCTTGCACTACACAAAGCATGATGGCTTAGTTGCACAACCTAAAATCTTCTAGAGAAGACTGCAGACCTCAGAACCACCAAAGCTGTGCAGGGGATAACTTTGAGCACCAAGCCTATCCTCACCAAAGTTTAAGGCCTTTTAAAATCCTAACTCAAGGAAGGGAAATAATGTTTTGCTCTCCTTCAGCACATCTCATGTGTAGTTCTGGGAGAAATTTACTGTGAATGCATCACGTACATTTACTTTACAACGGGGACACACACACACACACACACACACACACACACCCCACTTCACAAAGAGTTAAGGTGATTTGCCTGTGGCCCTGCCAGGAGCAGGACTGTTGTTCCTGACTGCCAGTCTTGAGACCTTCCAACTTTGGCTGCAAGGGCTTGCCTCAATTGCAACTTGAACGAGCACCTCTTTACCGATCTAAAGTCCCAGTTCAAAGTCTGGCTTTAACATAGCAATGGCTTTAATTTAACCCTGTCCAGTTCAGGTGTGAAGGTTGCATGATGATTCATATATGCAAAGCGCACATGGGAGGGCATAGCTGAAGTGGTAATATTCACAGTTGCCTTCTAGCAGCAAGAAAAGGGTGTAAAAAGGAATGTGCAGTATGGAAGAGCACTTGCACCCATGGTACCTGGAATGTGCCAGCTGTTGGTTAGTTCACACCCCTCAAGACACAGAGCAGTTACGCTACCTCTGCGTGGCCTTCTACAGATAT